AAGAAGCATGATAATAAAAACAGTACTGTTCACCAGATTTGTGTTTGCTAGACTAGGACTACAAATTTTTGCCATTGTGTAATAAAGTAATGCTACAAATCTCATGATATGGGTTAATTGGAGCATATTTTTGCCATGTATATTATGAATCTTAAAAAAAAGAGGACAATTGTTTTGTTTCTATTACCTGCTACTAGAATTGGAACATAGTATAGTTGGGACATACTATTTATAAATAGTTGAGTTTAATTTGCAAATGTGGCTTGGTTTAAACTCTATCACCCAAAAGAAGAAAAAGAATAGTGCCCAATACATGCAACTTCAACAAATACAAGTACATAAGAAGATACTTGTGACAAGTCAATCTTTGCCATTGATTGACTCTTAAAACATCATTCACTAAACTTTCATCCAGGATATTTTACAAAATGCTAGTGAACTATAGTATAACATTCCAAAGTAGATCTCCATAATTTACAAAATCCTAGTTAACATTAGCCAAAATACTTTATAGTGCAAAGCTAAGTTATAAGCCATAAACCTCTCCAAGAAGCACTTCTCTGATGGCACCAGCACAAAACCCAAACTCACATTTTCAAACCCCCTTATCAATCATTTCAACAACAAAACTTTAACAACTGAAAACCTTGGAACCAATCTCTTATTGGAATTGAAACCAAGAGCCATTGGATTTTTTGCAATAGTTTTTTTAGGCCATCCAATCTTGTTCGCTAAAAACTCCATTGCTAGCATTTGTTTCTTCTTCGACATAAACATACAATGTGGGTACAGCTTAAAAGTAGAGAGAACATTATCGCCAAACCAACCCCACGTTTTGTAAACTTGGCAACTTTGATTTCTATAGACCTATTGCTACCAAACAATGCGAATATTGCTGTTAGCGAAGTTGATTTCTGCAGATTAACACCCATTTGCTTAACCTCAAGCTTTTAAGCTTTAGCATAAAAACGTAGGGATAACAAGCAAGCAATAGAGAAATGCAGTGTAAGGCATACCTAATTCTCTCAAAATTTGAATGTTTGGCGTCACCTTCTTGGCATAGCCTTCCACCAAGATCCACGAGCCCTTCCAAAAACATTGATTGCCATTTTTATCTCATAAACCATTCTCTTCAAGAAATCATAAGTGGGCACAATCCGTTTCTCCAAGTCGTAATCAAAAGATTCGGGTTGTACACCACTGTTTTTCAAGGTCCTGCTTCAAAACTCCAACAGACCTGAAAAACTGAAACTGCGGCAAATGGGTTTATGAGATAAAAAAAAAAAAAAAAAAACACACACACACACACACACAAGGTGTTTCCATTATCTACGTGTCTTCTACAAAAACTTTACAATTTCACACACACACACACAGACACACACACACAAGATTACACACACACAGACACACACACACACAGAGTACACACACACACACACATAGTACACAAAAACACACACACGCACGCACAGACACACACACACACACACACAGAGTACTCCCATTGTTGAAACCCCAAATTTTAAAAATCGAAAACAGCATGTGGGTAGGACTTCCAAGTTTGACAACTTTGACATCCTAAATTCCCAAGTTCCATCTCATCTTATGAAAACCCAAAATTCTAATCTCAATTTCACATAAATATCAAAACCCTAATTTGTTCAAGTGCAGAGGTCTATGATTGAAAATTTCTCAAACCCAAAACAACAAAATCAAATAAAGCTCAGTTAATATCACAAACTAATCCACACAAATCGACGAAATAAATCAAAGATTCGAAGCTTACCAGACAACTTGAGGCAGATGAGGGCGAGCAGATGCAGATGAGCAAAGACGCAGCGATGAGGGTGAGGATGACGACGATGAGGGAGCACGGGAAGGACAATGATGAGGGAAGACGTAGAGATGATGACGATAAGGGAAGACGCATAAAATCTCTCGTGTTTTCTCTGGCTTACGAGTCCGCCCAAAATTGGGGATCCTCGTTAAGAACGGCTAAGGAGGTCTTTAATCCGAGCGAATCCTTGCTAAGCTCATTAAAGCTAATCCTAGTGCACACCAAACAAAGGACTATAGTCTAGTCCAGTCCAGTTCTTCTTAATCCTGTCAAACAAACGGGCCCTTAAAGGTTGTGAAGATTGAGAAAACATCAGATTTGTGTTTCATGGGATAAAACCAAATATATTTTGTGAAATGATCTACAAACATAACATAGTATAAAAAACCATCAGTAGATAAATAGGGAGCAGGACCCTATACATCACTATAAATTAGTTCAAGGGGACGCTTACTAACAAGCGTAGAATGACCAAACGGGAGCTTGTGGCTTTTATTGCAATGACAAGAAGTGCAAACAGAATGAGTTGAAGACATAGGAATGGAGGAGGTACGTTGGATTTGAAGAAAGGTTCGATGGTTGGGGTGACCGAGCCGACGATGCCACACATTGGAGAAGTCCATCACACTGCTCATAACTTGTTTTTGAGGCATCAAGCACGGCCACTCATATGTATCGTCCTTATTCGGGCCTCGAAGAAGTGCCGCTCCCGTGTTGAGATCCTTGACAAGAAAGAAATCAGGAAAAAATTCAATAGAGGTTGCATTTTGTCTAGTAGATTTGGCAATGAAAATAATATTACAAGAAATGGAAGGAACACACAGGACATCATTTAAGTGAAATGGGGTGGTAGAGGAAGAAGAGAGTGATGTGGAACCAACATGTAATACTCAAACCTGTTCCATTACCAATAATAATATAATCAGGACCATCATAGGTAATGGAGTCCGAGATGTTCCTAGAGTCAGAGGTGACATGGTGAGAGGCACCCGAGTCGAGCAGCCAAGGAGATGATGTTGAGGAGCGGATAATGGTGTGGTTGACCGTAGTGGAGCGGAAGAAAGTTGAGGGCAACGTTTTGCACTATGCCCTTGAGTATGAGCTGATCTTGACGAATCCAGAATGTGTAGGACACGGCAGCGGAGGCAGCAAGACATGGTTTTGATCCATCAATGTAACCTAACAGGTCATATCCAAGAAGCAGGGCATTGAATTGAGCTCGTCAGGAAGGAAAGTTGGTGGGTGTGAGTTTTAGAGGTAACTGAGCAGCAGCGTTAATGGTGACAGGGGTGGGCAAGGGGAGTGAGTTGGTGGATTCAAACATGAGGATCGAAAAAAAAAATGCTCGATGGAGCTTTGTTGTTCTTGATACCAAATTAAGGTTAGTATGAATGTATATTCAGTTATCTTACAAATGATTTACAAGTGCTCTTTATAGGAGCCAGACAACAATCAATCATTCATGGCTAATGGAAACAATCATGAAAGGTTAATGAACAGCTAGTGGACTAGACACAATCACGAATAGCTAATGGAAGCAATCATGAAATGACAGCTAGTGTACTTAGACGGCTTAGTGGACAAGCAATGAAGAAGATTCCCTTTTAATCCGCAACCTATAGGTTACGAATGATTTAGATTGGTTGTTTGCAACTTGAAAGGACGGATTCGTAATGGAAAAGCTTGGCCATTAGGTCATGTAGAATGAGCCTAACCATCCACCCTATCCTCTCTTGCCTATAAATAGGGCTCTCCTCCTTCATTTCCTTCCCATTTACTAATGTGAAGCCCTTGAGCAACTTCTCCCCAAACTGGGGGTAAGAGCAAGAATGTTTCAATCCTCCCAAATCCTGCAATGGTGGGAGTCTTGTCCACTCACCCTTTTGATTATTCGCAGTGCTACAACTCCAGAAATAGAAACTAGAAACCGACCAAGTATAATTATACCTAGATTGCTTCTGTAAAAGCATGGATTTCAAATTTTCAATGTGAATTCAAGATGATGGAGCATGGTTTGCTACCCAAACAAGAGGCAGAGAAAGTGTTTGAGAAGAAGCAGAAGAAAAGTCAGCTGCAAAAGCTCAATTCTCCAATGAAATCTTCTGTAAAGACGAGCACAAAGTCAGTTACTGTTAAGAAGAACACACCATCACCAATAGCAGTTTCAAATAAAAAGCCGCCAACACTGGTCTCCAAAGACGCATCAAAGCTGTCCAAGAAGCAGAAGACTGAATATAGCAGCTCGAATGACGACTCTGATGACGACTTTATGGTGGCCAGTAGAAATATAACAAAATTGGATGTTAGCCTATTATTCGGCATTTGGATAAACCAATGACAACCTTGGGCTGATAGCCTATTATTCCGCATTTGGATGTAATCAACTTTTCATCGTAGTGAGGACGCAATGCATGAAGGAAGGTGAACAAAATTGGTTTGGAGTTTAACTTTTCGTCCGCAATTGGAGAACATTTTCTACTGACAATCTATTGTAGCAAATTCAAAGACGGTTTATAATGCTTAAAATAGATGACTAAAACCAGTTGGTGGCTTTACCATTCCAGTCCATCTATATAGGAAGATTTACAGAGGCATTTCAACCTTCTTCTGGTCACCATCATTTGATTCATCAGTACCATGCCACTCTTGTGTGATTCACACGAGCTAGGAATCGAATCCAAGATGTGTCGTGTGGAATACGAGCTTAAAATTCGTTTCCAACTACTGAGCTACTATGTGGTAGTTGATCTTAGTTTTAATTAATTTTTGCAAAGTTGATTATATAAACAAATCTAATTTTAAATACGAAATTCTATAAATTGAGAACGAACAATTTTAAGCAAAAATTCCTACTCATTATTTGAGTAGCTGAATGTTATTCATGCAAAATTACAAAAAGATCCTGTCCATGTGGCCGCACGACACGTAGTCCAACCGGGGATTACGAGACATTCTACCCTTAATTGACTAGGAATTTTCTTGCATATTCCTTCCTAGCAAAATAACTAACCAGGAAAACAGAAAGTAAGAAAAACCAAAAGGATAAAGGAAAACTCTCTCTCTCTCTCTCCTCAGTCCTCACTCCAGTGCTTCACACGTTCTCATTAAAAAATAATAAAAAATTACAAAGACCATAAACCCTAGGGGATCGGCCTCAGTCTCCTTCTACTCAACACGTGTCGCTCTCTCCTACCTCCTCAAGGATTATTTTCTCTCGCGTTCTATATAAAACACAGAAAAAATACCCGTCCTCCAAGCAACTCACTCTCTCTGCTTTCTCTGTCAATTCTCTCTTCCAATTCTCTCGCTTCCTTCAACGCCTCCGCAGCCGCCGTCGTCCGCCCTGCTTCCTGCGCATATATATACGTGCTTTTGGCCAGAAAGCCTGCAGTATTGCTGCAAAATCTTCGATTGTAGAGAGAGAAAGTGAAAGGCAATGGAACAGAGAGAAACACTAACAATGGAACAAAGGCTCCTCTTCTTCCCCCGTTTTCCGAACGCCAGCGACGGCGAGATAGAGGTGGCGAATATCCTGATTCATCTTCCTCACATGATCTCCGAATTGGAGACTCCGCTTCCAATTCCACTCGAGCTCATCTGGGGATGCAAGGGAAAGAGATCTGTACTCGCCCTGAAGAACGACGGATGCGCTTCCACTCTGCGTCGTCTGATTGGACCTGATTTTTTTTGTTCACTGCAACTCTGGGCTTCTCTGGCTCGCTGGCCTTCGGCGGCCAAGGCTCCGCCGCCGCCCCCCGTCCCTAATGCAGTCAAGAAGGAAACTTCCAGCCCTGATACGCCGCTGTGCTTCGAGCCCAGTGAATCTGACGAGAAGCAGCCTGACGACTTGAGTAGTAAACTCTTTAGTCAAAAAAGGGTATTTCTTTGTTTCTCTGATCTGGGTTTTGATTATCTGGCAATTCTGACAACTGGGTTCTATCTCCTTCTTTTTCTTTCAATTTACGGACTAAATATTTTAATTTATTTACTATTATTTACTGTTTTTTCTGATATATTTTGTTTCTGCAGAAGAGAGAGGACTGGATTACTATTGTGGACGAATTGACTTCGAAGGAAAAATGGCGATATCAAGTGAGTATTTTCTTATTTTTTTTGTTTTTGGTTCTTTTGCAGCAAGTTCTCTATCTTTTTCTCAAATTTAGCCAGATTATCCTTTTTCTTTTTCAATTTATTTATGTAATTTCGCTTTTTGATAATTTGAGCAGGAGCTTGAGGACGTGAAGCGTCTATTTGAGAAGATGAATGGTCTTAATTTGGAGTTTAAATCAAGGAAAGAGGAGGTATATTTTTGTTTCTTTTTTGCTAATTTATCCTGCATTCTTTTTGTTTCCCTTAAAAAATATTTTTTTCTGTTTTATTTTTCTTACCCTTTTTTATTTTTTAAACAGCTAACGAAATTTAGCCATAAACAGGAACAGGATCCCCATGTGGATACGGATCCAAGTTCGAAACCAGCCGCGCAATTAAGCCAACCGACCCAACTCACATTTGTAACTTCGACTTACGTAACTTCGGCTCCTCCGGCCCCAAGACAAGAGCCTTACCAACATCCTCATCAGGTGCAAATGCCAATGCAAATTCATCCTCCTGGTGTGATTCTTTATCAACGTCAACTGCAGCAGCTGATCATGGATCAGACGGCTAAGACTCAAAGAAGAGAGATCAATGCGGGCCCACACGGCGGTCACATTAACCTTTGTTTTAGGGATGCAAACGTGTTGAACTCCTCGCAGCCGTTTGATCTTAGCTTGGTTAACAAAAATATGATTAGAAAAAGGGCAGCCGAGGCAAGGCAGAAGAGACTCGAAATCTGCAGGGTCAAGAAACCTCGCTTCCACTCCAGATGACCTGGGCTTTGGCTCATGGTGTTTTTCATTTTTTACCCCCAATAATTTTATTACTTTATTTGGGGTGTAATTTTTATCCAAACCAAAGGTTTGGTGAGGTTTTAGCAATTATTAAGGTGACAGTTTTTAGTCACGGTTTTAGCATAAATAATAGTATATTGTGGATATTTGGTTACCTATAATTCCATATTATAAAACAAGAGAAGCTCGTAATGAAATTTTGGTCTTTAGGATTTACATTTGTGTTGGTGTTTGATTGATGTATTGTCGATAACTATTTTTGTTTGTAACAAAAAATGCGTAAGTCTCTATGTTTTGATTGAGGGAAGTTCGTCTAGCAGAACACGAAACAAGGTGCATGTAATTTTGAGCCCTTTTTTATTCCTTGTGCTCGTGTATAATAAGCATTTTACTGCATTAGTGTTGTATACCTATAAATTTTAACCACTTGAGCTATAAATCTCTTTATCAATCACGTAGTGTTAAAGTTTACCAAGCCGATGCTAATCTTAACAAACAAATAAAATGAGATGACTTGCATTTCAATTGGTTAAGTATGCACCAGTGTAAACTACATATTGAAAATTCGCAGCCATTGAGTCCTTAGTTGCACAAGTAATGCTTCATTCATCTAATATATATTATACACCAGAGCATAATAGAGTTTTTAATGAGTTAAAAAGTATGCACTGATAGTACTACACGATCATGTCATACGTCGAAGAATAATAGTTAGGAAGTTTTAACAAAACACTCATAATACTGTTCACTTTTAATGAAAAACCACATTTATACTTTTTCCTGATACTATTCACTATATCTTTAAAAAGAAATTTTCATTAAAAATGAGGTTTTTTTTTAGAATTTTCGTTAGTTTTCCTTAATAGGTTATCTCATATAGTAACAACATGGAGCAGGCCTTAAGTCTGGGCCGTTACAGAGAAAAATGGCCCAAAAAGAAGATGGCCCAATGGGAATTCTAAGTTGGCAAGAGAATCTCGGCCGTAGATGACGAAGAGTACACTCGCACCCGAATGAAACCCTACTTGTGTTCCTATATAAGCAATAGTTATTCTCCGAGATCAGAAGGCCTCAGCTGCCTCCTCCTCCTCCTCTGCTGGGAAAGATGCAGAGTCAAATACTATTATAATCTCTCTCTTTTATATAATTGTGTGTATAATTTTGTAAATCAAGATAGAATTAAATATTGATGCAAGTGACGAGAATTATTAATTGGTACGAGAAGCTTGCAATTTTATTTGTGCAGGCGATGTTGCACCTCATACTTCCATGACTCTGATGCATCTAAATCATCTGTGTTTTCATTCCTTTCTCTCTTCTTTTCTCCTTTTCTTTGGTTTTTTTAATTGTTTTCTTTTATAATACCATCTAGATTTTCGTGAATTTTGTTTTTATTATCTTGAAATTCCACTGGCATAATCTGAAATTCGTTCGGTTTGGGATAAAATCTGAAATTCCATTGGTTAATTAGGGTTTCTTTTATATTCTATTTGAAATTTTTTGTATTTCTTAAAATATTTTTTAAGAATTTTTCTTGAAAATAATTTTTTTTTAATTCAAAAACTTTAGAAAATGAAGAGGGGGGAGAGAAAGAACTGAGAGAAAGAAAAGAACGGATTGAAGCAGAAAAAAAAGGTGGAGAGAGAAAGAAGAAAAAAGAAATAAGAGTGAAGAGGGAGAGTGAAGTGAGAGAGAAAAGAAATGAGAGACTTTAAGTTTAAATTTTTTAAAAAGTTATTTTTTGTGTTTTTAGAAAATAGATTATAGTTTTTAGTAAGTTTTGAATTCAATTTTTTAAAATAGTTATACCAAATAAATTTTTAAAGTTTAAAATTTAAAAATTGTTTTTGAGTTTGAAAAGTTATATTCAAGTAGAGTACCAAATAGGTTTTTGAGTTTCACAATTTTTATTCCCCAACTGCTAAGAGTTTTTCAACCCAAATTTACTTGTTTGAGGTTTTACCATTTTATACAAATCACCTATCAATCTTAAAGAAAATAATTATGCCCATTTCTATCTCTCTATCAATCTCTGTGTCTCGTCAAAGTGGAGCGAATATTGAGTTTGAATCCCAACCTTAATGCAATCCGAAAAAAAGTGTGATCAAAATTGAATTTCGGCGTTGCAAAAAATCTATGAACTTCCATGGTTGCATCCCAACCTTAATGCAATTTGGAAAAAAATAATCAACGATTGGCAGCTAATGCAAAAATGACAATTTTATTCCGTACTTGGAAAAGAACAATCACACAATATCGTCTTACAAGATGATATAGTAACAGTAACTTAATCCAGCAAGGTGATGATCTTGCGTGATTAGCCGAGACAACAATCCACAAGCAAAGACAAAAAAATGATAAAACCAAAAACACAGATTTTACCATTTAAGTAGACAAGCAAGTAATAAAGGACACCCCTTCCATGTCAAACATCTGTTTCTTCCCGTCCTGATTTGTGATTGCCGGCATGTTCTATTCCTCGTAATTCTCTTCGGCACCTTCCTCCTCGTACTCGCCCTCATCCTCCACGGTTGCATCTTGGTATTGCTGGTACTCCGCAACCAAATCATTCATGTTGCTCTCTGCTTCGGTGAACTCCATCTCGTCCATGCCTTCACCGGTGTACCAATGCAAAAAGGCCTTGCGCCGGAACATGGCTGTGAACTGCTCGCTCACTCTCCTGAACATCTCCTGGATTGATGTAGAGTTACCAACAAAGGTAGATGCCATTTTCAAACCCCTGGGTGGAATATCGCATACGCTTGACTTCACGTTGTGAGGGATCCACTCAACGAAGTAGGACGAGTTCTTGTTCTGCACATTGATCATCTGTTCGTCCACCTCTTTGGTGCTCATCTTCCCCCTGAACATAGCTGAGGCTGTCAGGTAACGTCCATGACGAGGGTCAGCGGCGCACATCATGTTCTTGGCATCCCACATTTGCTGAGTCAGCTCCGGCACAGTGAGGGAGATATACTGTTGAGATCCACGAGAGGTGAGAGGGGCAAACCCGACCATGAAGAAGTGAAGACGTGGAAATGGAATGAGATTCACGGCCAGCTTCCGGAGGTCTGAGTTCAACTGTCCAGGGAACCTTAGGCAGCATGTTACACCGCTCATGGTTGCGGATATCAAATGGTTCAGGTCACCAACTGCAAACCAGAGATAAAATTAAGTACAATTAGAACCGGTGCTATAATAATTGTACAAAGAATTAGATTGTCACTCACAGCTTGGGGTGCTGAGCTTTAGGGTCCTGAAGCAAATGTCATAAAGTGCTTCGTTATCAAGAACCATGCATTCATCTGCGTTCTCAACCAGCTGGTGCACCGAAAGAGTGGCATTGTATGGTTCCACAACGGTGTCTGAGACCTTTGGTGAAGGGAAAACAGAGAACGTGAGCAGCATCCTGTCAGGGTATTCCTCTCTAATCTTTGATATGAGAAGGGTTCCCATTCCAGAACCAGTTCCTCCTCCAAGAGAGTGGCACACCTGAAAACCTGGCCCGTACAAAAAAGAATATGTCAATCAGCATATCGATAACAAAAATGGAAATGGGTAAGTGAGGTTTCAAGTTTTTACAGGAACAAGGATCCAATACAATCACACATCCTCACACTAACAAATCAATGATACAATCATACAAGGCCCTATAAGCCAAACTAAAAATGGTTGAAAAAAGTTCTTACTGCCATCTTAGAATATAAGCTAAATGTTCCACTGTAAGCACAAATCAGTAATCCTCAAACAATTAAGCATGTTCCATTGTGTAAGTTACTGCCATCTCAGATTTACTGCAACAGTTAATTTGCTTAAAGAACCGACACAATGTCTGTGTGGTGATATATTGACGGTTGGGAAATCACAATCATATCAAATACAAAGAAAGTAATCAGATTTGCTAATTTACATGTAAATTAGCAAAAAGACAGATCAAACATCAAAGACTACTTTCTTGATCTGTTTATCCACTGAAGACCATAAAACTGGGGGGACCACAAGCAACTCAGCCTTATAAAGACAAATTATATAAATGGAAAATGAAGACAAATTATAATAAAATTTTTTTTTAGCACATCGATATTTTTACACTAAAAAGAGAATTCGGTTAAATCACACAATGAACAATTTAATTCAGTATAAAGAATATTGCTTTTATAAAAAAAAATAATATTTGCGAGACGCAGTACAGTTGCCCACATGGCAATGTTGGGAAGCTGACGATGAATATGTCAGATCAACAATGAAACAAAAAGTACAGGACAAGATTAGAAATTAGAATCGTTTTATCTTAGATCCTCTGCCAAGGATGCGGAATAAAAAATGCATTGACTGCCACGGTCAAGTAGTTGAAATTGTAATCAAGTTTACCGAGCAACTTTATAATTTTGGAATTAGATTGAAGTTTTGGATGAAGGATCTGACAATCCTAGCTTTGTAATTAGGTTAATGTTAAATATGTAATTAACAACTCATTCATCTAGCTAATGAAAACTGTAATCAACTGAATTTTCAAGCATCAATGTTTATAATCTCGCAGAAAATCAATTCCGATTCAGAAGCATTTTGAAGTCAGATTATCAATCTTTAACGACGAACTCATAGAGCTACAGAAAACAGAAACCAACTGAACAATCAATCAAGCATCAATATATTCAATAGAGCAGAAATTCAAATCCAATTCAGAAGCATTTCATTTTATAATTCATGTCGAAATTAAAAGAAAAACTACCTTGAAGGCAATCACAATTCTCGGCCTCCTTGCGAACAACATCGAGAACGGAATCGATCAACTCAGCACCTTCGGTATAGTGTCCTTTCGCCCAATTGTTGCCGGCGCCGGACTGGCCGAAGACGAAGTTGTCAGGGCGGAAGATCTGGCCGAAGGGGCCGGATCGGATGCTGTCCATGGTACCGGGCTCAAGATCCATGAGTACGGCGCGGGGGACGTACCTACCGCCGGAGGCCTCATTGTAGTAGACGTTGATCCTCTCGAGCTGGAGATCGGAGCCGGCGTCTCCGCGGTACCTTCCCGTGGGGTCGACGCCGTGCTCGTCGCAGATGACCTCCCAGAACTTGGAGCCGATCTGGTTGCCGCATTGGCCTCCCTGGATGTGCAGAATCTCTCTCATTGTCGCGACGGAGGTGCCGGAAATGAAGCGAGATCTGCTGCGCTTTTAGGGTTGTGGGAGGATTGACGAGAGGAGGGAGAGAGGCAGATTATGAAGGAGAAGGGGAGGAGAGAGTGGGAGGGTGGTTAGGAAGGTAATAATAGCCGGTGGGATATTTTTTTAGCCAATTGGCATGTTGGTTGCCGTGTGTGTGACAGCCAGACAGAGAGAGTACGGACAAACAAACTACCATCTCTCTCTTCTTTTTCTCTCCTCTTTCTCTGTGTTGCTCTGGCCGGCATGAGTGCGCACGTTAATTCGGGGATCCCACCCGCCCGCCAGATAGTTTCCCGCGGGAAACAGTGTTAGAATTTAACCGTTGATCATAAGATTTAGTCCGTTGATTTCCTTTTTACTGTCATTGACTCTGTTTGGCTGGACCAGAAAATTCCCGAAAATTGTGTGATGCATCGATGTATTGCATACATTGTGATGTTAAATCGTATATTTCTCCAAAAAAATATATATATATATAATCCGTTGCATGGTTTAAACGTCCGCTGAAGTGATGCATGGCGTGCAATGGTGCATTGTAAAAATACTCGAAAGAGTGTTGAGTCCAAGCAACTTGTTTTGATTCCGTTCCGGTGCTAGATTTGATCTCCTTTAATCACTATTGATCTCTTTAGTACATTCAATTCGACGATCGAAAATTGTATTCAACTATCAGAAATTGAAGGACATATAAAAGGAGAAAAAAAAAAGTGCGGATAACGCCACCCTTAGAGAAACTGCTCAAACGGCTGAATTATTGTCACTAGGCATTGACAATCGGACAAATACTAATAATGTTTTTAATTAAATAAAATAATTCTGAATCTGAAAATCCATGTGTTGGGATCCAAAACCAAATTCATAATACCCGATTCAGTAGATCTTGATATGTGATGGCAAAGATTACTAGATTAGAATAATCATCGCTCCATTTCCCAGTTACTAACACAAGTGACTTTTTTCCATCCACGCTCATACCCATGAATCAAAAGAGTTCAAAGACATTACAAAAATTTACACAATTCGATTGGTAAAGGTGACAAGGATACCGAACATTAACCGCGGCAATCTACGACACCCTAGTGCTGCGGTGGAGGCTCGTTGCAGTGCTTCTTGAAGTTCACAGCCTCGTCCGTCAAATATTCACTGAAAAGTGATCCCCGTCAGTGACATTGCTCAAACGCAAAAGTGGTGAATGAGCATGATGACAATTTACAAAGGAACTCACCAAATTCGCTCGGCCATATGAGGTACTTCCCATCTAGGGCTCCAAGGAAATTCAGTTAGAGGAAGCGACTTGATTGGCACACCTTGGAGGTTGAAATGCTACATCATTACACAAATATATCCCCATCAATTAATGAGTTTTGACTAGAAAACATATATACCAAGAACAATAATTGAACAAACTGCACATGTACAGCAGCTGATATACGTGATTAACTAGCTATATATATATATATATATATACGGTTTAGTATTGCTGTAATCATTAATTCATAAATTTGTATAATTATCCTTGCCTGTGAACTTTGAAGCATCAAAGCCGGCTTTTGCTTTGGAAACTGAGTTGAAATCGAAACATGAACCTATACAAAGCAAGACAATCAGAAGCTTGGTCACTTGAAAAGGGAAGATTAACGAGAGTACAGTACCAACTGTAGAGATAAAACAATTGAAAATAGAACAAAAGTACCACCAGATAACGCACAATAACATAGTAGATTGGAAAAACTCTTGCTATTCACAACATTAAACGACACTGAATCCACGTGAATTACTGCTAGATAAGCCAAATGCTTATAAGAAAGGTAGAAACAAAATTGTATAGATTAAGCGAGTTCTTAATCAATGGTCGAGCACATGCTTTAGCTTAAAGGAATATTCAATACAAAGATGATACAGTGATGATCATATATACCAGAAAAGTGAAAACTCCAGAAGCAGTAAGGAATGTTGCCTTTCTGCATAAGACCTGCCCAATTAGACATGAACAATTAGTATTAAAGTTTCAAGAACTTTGCAGAGAGCATTACATGCCTAGGATGCCTACCGAATCAGCTTCCACTGGTCTTCCAAACTGCAGAGCTAATGCCTCAATAAAGCGCCTCCTAACATCAACCAAGGAGACTGCCTCCAAAACCTGAATAACAAGGCAAAATATACTTACAAATATGAAATATTTTGTACTTAAAACTGCCAAAATATAAACTCAAATGCAGCTGACCTGCTTCTCAAGAGATTCTTCAAGATGCGGAAGGTATTCAGCCATGCACCTTTCGAGAGTAAGAAAAAAAAATTGAAACTGAAATCCATAATGAACCAATACTAGTAAAGTATAGATGACTTAAGCATTTCTAATTTATAGGACAGAACATATAACTGACATACATCCCATTCAACCACGGACGAAGTTTGACTTCATCAATGGAAAATAGAGTCTTCAACTCTGAGGTAGACACTAGTTTCAATCGAGGTGCTGAAGGAGTGGAAACATATTTTTTCTCAACAGGATATATAACCTGCACTACCCAGAATTCACATCATTGAATACAATGTCCGGGAAGAAAGGTAAAAATTAGGGAAAAATGGGTTCAAACTTGGGGGTGGGGGAAGACAGAGAAAAAGAGATTATCAACCTGCAAGTATATCTTTTGTTGATGTCTCCAGGGGTATGCAGGCACCATCTTATTTATGTTCATGTCTAATAGAGGAACTGCAAATTTGACCTCCTCTGGCTACGCTAAAATTCAGAGGCATAAGGACCACATTTATAATCAGAAGCTACACAGGCAAGTTCTAGTGAACACTGGTATTCCATAGAATCAATAACAACAGTCAAACATGTTTTTTGCTCAATCGTTAATACCTTGTCAACTCCGGAACTCATCTGCATCTCAATGCCCTGAAGCAAAACATAACAAGTGTTTTTCATAATGTCATAATTAAACTAGATACTGATGAAAATGTTCCTCCTAGTGCATCCCTCACACCCAAACAGAAATCTAGTAATATACATAGTGTTTTTCATTCAAATTTCTCACGGTTGTTTGAAGCATACCTCACGAGCAACAATTGTGCTAATTTCAAACTTCAACCTGTCATCATCAACTTCTGCAACGCGCTTCTTCTGGTAGGACATGTACTGATCCCTTTAAATTGGAACACACGTATTTCATCGACAACCAAGGGAGTCGTTAGCTACATTATTCCTAAAAGAAACACAAAACTATAAAGAAAATGTATAATCGAAAAATCCATCACCTTAGTTCTTGAATGAGAAGCATTAGCTGTGTAGGGTCTCTGCTATTCCAATCACTCAAACACTTCATGTGAAATTTTGAGTCCCCTTCTCCCTCATCGGGCGATACAAGAAACTGCTGAAATCTCTCATCATCAGGTCCGAATATAACATCCGGTGCAGAGAATGGAGACTCCGAATCAAATATAACATCCCCTACAGCAAATCAAAACCCATACTCTTAGCAATTGAAAACAATCAGTACTACATGAAACTGCTTATTACAACAATCCACTCACACTTGATAACGTCTAGACAGTAGGAAATGACTAAGGTGAACCGGTCGAGAAATCCGGGGTAGTACTTGCTGCCAGACCACTTGTTCTCAATCTGCAATGCGAAATCGATCCTGTAAAATGTCCTAAAAATTCTTTTTACAAAAACCCTAGATTGTACGACGGCTCAGAGAATTCGGCATATTATACAGCAAATGAAAATCCAAGAACCCTAGATTGTCTGGATTCCGAGAAAATGCCTCAGCGAACTATTTCCGTCGGGACGAATGAAATGAAATTTTGGAGTTTCTCCGGAATCCGTTTTCTTTGCAAAATTGGAAATGAAGCGAAGACGTTGGGTTTACGAGGGCATTACCTTGACGACGAGAGGGAAGTGAGTGAGGAGGTAGTTGAGCTGGGTGGCGACGAGCGGCGGAACACTCTCCGACGACATGGTGGTCGCAGAGCGAAGAGACTGAGAAATTGATCTGGTGGAAGTGAAATTCGTCACCTCAACTGAATCAGGAAGTAGGAGAGACCTAAAACGGCAGCGTCCAGCACTAACCTGCGCCTTCGGCCCAAGAAGTTGTCATGTAAGTGGGCTTGGTCCAATAGTTGTTTTTTGAGGCCCATCAGTTTATGAGTCTATTAGGCCCATTTTTTCAAGTCCAGCCCTATCAAGGGCAGAATTGCGAGTCCAGATCCAAATAAAAGGGCAAAACCGGCAAGACGAAAGTATGAAAACCCTAATAAAGTCTCGGTCTGCGTTGTTTTAATCGTAACGCTACGGCCTCCGCTTCTCCATCCGAAAACTCCACACCCTCTCTCGCCTTCTTCCCGATTCTGTTATTCTTTCTTTTTATTTAGCAAGTAGTTCAGTTGTGCAAAATTAGTATGAAATCAGATGATGAATTTGGATTAATCATCTCACGACGGTCGTCTGAGACTCAGTGTCGAAGCTGAAACGATCCTTTGCTTCTGATGGTTTCCTAATTTTTTTTTTTTAATTTTCTTCTTATTTTTGTTTAAATTCGTCTTGTTTTTTACCTGGATTTTATTGATTTGGGTATGGGATGGAGCAAGGTGAGGAAGATGTTGTATTTGTCCGATTAATTTTCGTGATTGGAATTGCACAACCACCTACTCATTCCGAATGGTTACCTTACCGGCCATTGCTTTTGTTTGTGAAGTTAATATTTAGGTTTTTTTTTATTATTTATTTTCTTAATTGAAGAGGCACAATGAGGAGAAATTATAGTAGTGGTATTTATGAGATTCATAAATCAATGACTAAAAATTTTAGTCCTTTTCATTCTGAGTGCCTTGATTATTTTGTTTTTTATTTATTTTAAAAATTTTAATAAGCAAATTTTAGTTTTGATATATTTTAATATGCGATGGCCGGCCGGCCGGCCGATTATCGGAAATTGAGAATGGTGTATGTGAAGTAAATATGGATTTGCAAATTAAAAATAGTAAATTGTAGAAATGGTTTATCAACTTTAATCAAATTACAAATTAGAGCAAAGATTCCTCAATTCATGAAAATGCTTAGCTATCTTTCTTTTTTTGTCAACTTCTTTAGAATTTTGGCAAAATAAATTGTGTTGGAAGAATCATTGAGACAATTAGGATTCCTCAATTGTAGCTCTGATTATTTTTATCAACTTCGTTAGAATTTTGTCAAAATGAGTTATGTTAGAATGATCAATATTACAATTGGATTAAAGTTGAGGATTATAGTTGCATGTTTTGATGTGTTGGAGATCAATGCTAATTTTTAGTTGAAAGACCAATGGTAATAGATTTTTAGTTGAAGGCCATTACTACAATAGACTGAGAAATTCTGTTTCTGAGAAAATATAGAATTAGGTTTTTGGACTTGACAAAACGTTGGTCTTGCCCGTAAATTCTGTAAGAAAATCTGTTAATTCCGACCGCAACACATCCCGGCTCCCTCCTGCCGCCGCACCATCAAAATATTGGAAAATGCCACTTTGGTAAAAGATAAAAGATAAAAAAAAATGGTATTAATATAAATTTATTGATGTTATTCGTTTTTCCCATATGTTTAGCCTGATTTTATATTGAACCCTGATGTAGCTACTTCAGCAAGGAGTCGAATTTACATGTATAATTATGCTCATCTTGCTAGTCTAGTGCCCAAACCTGCAAAATAACAAGCAAAAACACTGGATTAAGATGAAACTCAGCGTTTTTGTTTATCTGAAAGCGCTCGGGTACATCATAGTTTCCATCTCTAACCTGAATTCTGCCATCTGATGAACCCGCATACAGCATTCCTCCATCCATGTCTGCTGCCAAGGATGTAATCTTGGCGTGTCCTCCGTTAACCATTCTGAACGAAGCAATTCGTGTGAACCTTTCCTTCAACCAAACCTCAATCGTCCCGCACTTGCTGGCCGTGAATATCAAGTCGTTGTTGATGGTTATTCGTTGGATGTCAAGCCCGGTTGTGAACGATCCTACCACTGCCTTGTTGGGAAGCGAGAACATCTTTCCGGCTGAGGCATCTACTGATGAACCGCCAGCATATAGAATGCCGTCGTGGATATGGAGGGAGTAGATGACCTGTTTCCCAAGCAGCTTTCTTGTGCCAGAGTAGAATGTGCTTGATGTGTATTTGCCCAAATCAACCTCCTGCCATATTTGATCAAATTTATTGAAATGGTTGACTATTTAGAACGCGGAGAGCACGTCCTTCACAGAGCGAACTGCGTGCTTTGATTTACCTGGATGCTGTAGCCAGAGCAACCACAGTACAAACTAGTCCCGGCAATGGCAAGGCTCTTTACGTATTTGTTGAAGTTTATGTGCTTTTGAACTCCAGACCACTCGTACACCTGCACAAATATAACCATAAAAGAAGGAACCCTTTTCTTCTGGACTATGTCACAATTGTTAAAGGCTGCACTTACCTTAACTCCGGTGCCCTGAGAAACGAAGCACGCCATTTTACCATTCGCTACCAACTCATAAACTGCATCCTTCACGTCATGAACTTGGAGACAATGAATCTCTTCGGCTTTAATCGCCCATATCTGTAGACGAGAACACGTTTATAGATAATCCAGTCCTGAACCTTAAACTGTAAAGAACGGATGTTAATGAGAACTATTTTCACGAGTTATAGATGGCTTACTCGAATTGTTTTGTCTAAAGAACCGCTGTATAATTTGTCGCCTGTAGGTGAAATATAGAGGCATGTAACAGCCTTCGCGTGCTCACGAACTTCTTGAATCAATCGTGGCACCTTCTTCCCTGCCTCCCATACCTAAAGGGAAGACAATATTAGTCTCAGCTGCTGTTTAGCAAATCTTTCTGTATTCAACTCCGCTTAATACAATTTGTGTATAGAGCCTCGATTTTAGGCTTAAGTATGAAATGCATGAGTTCTGGTTTGGCCTACACCTTTATAGTCCCATCCGAATGGCTGCTTAAAATGCGACTTTTCAGATGAAGCAAAGACAGAACCTCCCCGTTCGTGGATGATTCCAATTCAAGCACTTCGGAACAACTCCACAGCTCTGCCTACATTGCAAAATATCGAGTAAGTCAGTAATCTTTCCATATGAATTGCTTCAAGTTGATATTATGCTCCCCAACCCACTTACTATATCAATAGATGACAAGTTCATCAACGCTTTCATTATGTCGTTTGCCACGAATGCATACTTCTTGAGCTTTCTCAAGGTTTTGTAGATGGGTTTAGCATACACTCTTAGTGCTTCAAGTGCAGCTGCAATTGGTAAGTTTGAAAAGGTTAACTTCTATTCATTTGCGTACCATAACAAAACGTTTTCAGCACCAAATTTACCTGGATCGTTGACAAAAGATTTCAAGGCAAGAGTTGCCAAAATCTTCTCCTCCATATTATTCGACGATTGGAGAACATTCATGAATTCGTCAAGCAAGGCCTTGCAAGCGCCACTTTTCACGCCAGTATCAGGAAGTACAGAGAGCATGTGTGTTAGCCATGTAGCAATGACAAGACATGACTTTGCCATCTCTAATGAATTACTCTTGAGACATTCTTCCAAAGCTTTAAAAATCGACCCCTTTTCGTGGTTGCAAAGTACGAAAGCGACCCTTTTCTGCCAAGAGGTTACAGCTTTCTCTTCTTCGTCCTGTTTAGGAGCATTAAAAGATCAGGGATTCAGGATTCACAGCAAATTATGTGGTATAAACTGTGATAGAACGAAAACACCAAAAAAAGGCACACCATTGTTTCCATGAAATCATTGTCGTGTTTCCTCAGCCGCTCTGCCTTCATCAAAGCATTGTACGGTTGATCAAACCCTGCAGTCTTGAGTAACCAGGCTTCAGTATTCGAATCCCCTGAGGAAGTCACTCGTCCGGTAAGAGATAACAAGGTATCCAGAGCCATCATTTGAGAATTAGGGAAGTCTTTCCGCCGCATCGCTTCAATTAATGCCTCAATTGCATCTTCCCTGTAAATGCTCATCTTCCACGGCTCAACCTGGAAAATCGAACCATAAACTATGTTTAGGTCGCCTGGTGAGTGTATACCAGAAAGCTTGACTTGCAAGTTAATGAATAAAATTGAAGTCAAGAACAAAGGAAACCAGAAGATCAAGCTGAAGAAGAAGAGAAGCGATTGTAGGTTGCTGCTCCATCGGCGCCATTTGGAGATACACGAGAAAAGTGTGCATCGTACTGAATGCTCCTTCGTCTTTAATCATGTGCAGGATCTGATTGCTCAATGTTCTCCTGCCCATAAGAAGAATGTAAATTACCGTCAAAGTTGTATTTAATTTGGTCAGGTTTCCGATGTGAGACTTTTACATTCTTCAACAAGTACAGTGCAAATCAGAGAGAAGTGAAGAAAAACTGTACCTGTTCAACTGAACCAGCTCCGAAAGAAATTCTACACATATGCCTCGCACGCAATCATTTCCGGCATGAAACAATTCAAGAACAGGAGACAGATCGATTCTATTTGCTATCAAGTTCCTGCAACTTTTTTCAGCTTGCATACAACATAATAAAATTGAAACAATCGACCTTGTCCCTTCTGCTTTATCCAAAAACCTTACAAGTCCAGGAATCCCGTTTGCAGATATAACACTCAACGCGTTAATAGATCTGCTGTTTTCGTCTCCTCCCATCAAGATTTGCTCAATTATTGCCAATGCAGCATCTTTAGGCTCCATCACCAACTGAAGATCATCCAATTCCTCAGTTTTGCTTAGAATTATCTGGACAAGGGAGGGTATGAGATCATGTACTGAAAGCTGAGCAAATGCCGGCCTCAACTGGTAAATAAGAACAGCAGCCTCAGCTAGTCCATTCTTTAGCAGAGTAGCGAGGCAATCGAGGTCAGAATCTACACTCGTAAGAGTTTCTCCAACACTTTCTTCTGAAAATATTAGCTCTGAGAGGATGTAAATTGATGATCTGAGGACCTCTCGGCTCAGGGAAGCTGAAAGTATTTCGATGAATCCGTTGACAGTTGTCAGTTCAGATAAGTAAGAATGCACTGCGGGATCAGCCTTTGAGTCCTTCCATAGTCTGGCTATTGACAACACGGCTGCCTCACATTCTTGTAAGTTTTCTGAAGTGCATAGACATGAAACATGAGGTTTCAAACTGCTGATAATTGTCTCGACTGCAGCTTGAGATATCACACTTGTTGGTGATGTAGCAACCGTTACTCGCATGAATCTTTTGTTCCGTTGGATGATATTGGTATAATCATCGGCATTGCTGTGACCTAGGAAACTAGGTGTTCTCTGTGAAGTGGCTGTTGCTGAATGAGTTTCTTTCCCGGAGGAGGGGTCGAATGATATTTTTGGTGATTCAGAGTACGGAGACTCTTGAGCAAGTTCAGGATGCTCTTCTTTCCATGATGTTATTAGTCTTTTCAGAACGTAGTTCGTTTTTGGCAGTGTAGAAGTCGCAATGGGTTGCCTTGTAATGGGGCATGTCGTGTTTCCTCGTTTGAGCCATTCTTGGATTGCTTTTCTTTCGTATGTCTGGCCTGTTTCGAGGGTAACTGGATCACCGAAAATCTGGCCAGTGATAGGGCAAACAAAATCCTTAGGCGGCCTTGATTTATGTGTCAGTCTATCGGAATATGGGATTGAACTGCAACTGTGGCTTCCTTCATCATTTTCGTTACGTGGACTGCACAATTAGAAGAAAGTTAAATAAAAAAAAACCGATATAGGGGATGTTTTTAGTAGATCTAAACTGAAAACTTTACCTATCTTTCGACTTTTGGCCATTCACATGATCCGAAATATCACTTTCTGTCCGGCTGGAAGTTTTCCTGCAACTTTTCGGAGTCTTCTAACCAAACACAACGCACATTTTCAGTTAAAATCCAGCAATTCAACTTTGTATAGTAAATAGAACATACAAAAAATGCTTGACAAGTAAAGATCTTGGATTAATTAGTAGGTGTAGGGTTTGTGTCATTACTATCACTTCGCAATCGGAGTCTGCTGAGCTGATGCTGAACTCATTACTAATGACTGGAGATGCAGGCAAAGAGGTTGTAATAGCTGAATCCGTCATGCGAGTGGAAAATAAGCGCAATACAGAAGTGGCTTCGTTTTTAGACTGCACACTGTCTGGCTTTGGAGATAAAATCTTTGGAGAAGTTCTAGGCGATTGAAAAGGAGAAAAGATTGAAGGAGTGTGTATTCGACTCTTTCTTACAGATGGCTGTACATTTTCCACACTTTCCTTTTCATCCAAAGCCACAATAGCATCGTTAGCCTCGTAATCTGATTCGTCTTCATTTTCCTCAGGGATGCCTTCCTGGAATAATGCACCAGATAAATTCATGCATTTCAGAAAGCATAACATTTAAAAACAAAAGCTGCTTCCTAATATTGCAAATGAATTTTCGGGTTTACCTGAGGATCCCATCTAGCAGACTCCAATTTCAGTAAGGATGCAGAAGTTAAATTCATTCTGTTTTGACGAAACATCAAAATGGTACACACTTATTAGAGTTCTAAACAAAGCAAGTGTTCAAATTCTAAATTCTCGTCGTTTTTTTTCATCGCAGACTAATAACTATTTCCTCACCTGCTTGTTTCTCTTGTGCTATCTTTAGACTTGAGGACGGGAGAAAAACCGGCACTCTTGGGCAAGATAGGACCAAACTTTACGAAATCAGGAATTGAGTGGCTGACCTCATGCAACGGAGTCATTGGTGCCTCTGCGATTGGCAGCATTGGAACCACCTTTTTACTTGGGGTTGTTGAATCAGTGTTCATGCAATCCTTAAAGTACTTTGCGTAAAGCCGCGTGTTCTCATCCAACGATTCTCCATAAAGCTGCTCCAGCTTTTGCAACTTCTCACCCTGATCAGGCCTCATCGAACAGACCACTGACTCGTTAAAAAGATGATCAAGATCAGCTGTAAAAGACAGATCAGCAGAATCAGGGATTACTTCCATCACAAGTCTGTGCCTCTGCTCCGAATACCACCCTATAATCGAGCTCATGTGTGGAAGAAACAGATTTTTCCATAGCTCGGGAGCAAAATCTATCCTTGAGAAGAAAGGGTCAACTATAAACATCTCAATCACATGGAGAACCGCTAGTTGGATATTGTTGCGCAATTTCGAAAGGTATGCTAGGTTGAGGTGTGCCCAAGCAGATAGATAATAATTGGGGACTCCAGCAGTTCTCTGGTCACAATTCAACATTGCACAAACTTGCAACATTTTTTCAGCATGATCAAGTCTTGCAAGCTTAGTTTCCATGTTTGAAGTTCCGATAGCTTCTTCGAGGGATTCAATACCCCAGTCCAGATTTGCCAGCACTGCTTGATCAGAGTATCGAACCTCAGTATCTCTGTCACAACTTCCATCTTGTGCTGCCAATCTCTCAGCACATTGTTCCCTGTGTTGGGCTCTTTGGTCTTTGTTGATCAGCTGATCCCTGATAAATCCATCAACTGTGGTCGTTAAGATCCTAACAATGTCCTGTTGGCCCATTGCAAATCCATAGTTTCTCGCCATATTTGGATCTTGGAGATGATACTATCTCATCAAATTATTTACCTCATCATCTCATTGCAATTCGGGGTTCCGTTAGTCTGCTGAGAAAAAAATAAATGAATCTTCAATAACAAAATCAAAACACAAATCAAACACAAGTCCACTAGTAATCTAGTAGAGCTGATCAACCATTTCTGACTCTGAAACAAAACCTAAAGTTCGACCTCACCAGCTTTTAAGAAGCGCATGCAATCATTAGAATTGAAATGATTTATGCACTTCCGTTTTCTCCTTCTGCACCCTCCCTTGGTTTATGTCCCTTGATTACAGCTAGAAAAAAAGAGACGAGTGTAGGAGAAGAAAAGGGAGTGCAGAAATCGTTTTCCTAATCAGAAAAGAAAACATCAACCCGAAGAAATCATGTAAAACCATCCAACATACATGTTCATAATTATGTTCCTGTATTTGATCACAAAATCATCAAATGTATGACCAGATCATAACTCAGACATCTATAACAACGCCATGCACGTCACATACATACATGCATACATATACCCTATATATATATATATCATTAGAGAAACTCAATCTTCTTGTTGCTAAAAGGAGAAAGAAAAAAAAATTCAGTCGTTTCTCTTAAAAAAATGGAAGAACCAATGAAAAGAAAAGAAGATTGGATTCTGGAAAATGGTTACCTTATTGAGGAAGTTAGGTAGCCTCAGAAGTGGAGTTGGTGATTATTTTGTGATTCTTTTCCAGAAAATCCTCATTAGAAAAATGATCACTTTTTCTTCAAGCAAACTACAGAGAGAGAGAGAGGGGGAGAGGGAGAGAGAGCCGGCTGGTGGTGTTTCTTATGCTGGAAGACTGGTAGGCTGGTAGCAGCTGTGCCGGCAGAGGGAGGCTGGTGCTCAAGTGATGATCAAAGCAAACCGTGGACTGAGCATTAAACTAATATGCTAATCACTGTTTCTGTCGTAATTAATAATTGATTAAGATTTTGAGTAGTCGTATGCAATGACACCATTGACAAGAGAGCATTTCGCCCTTTTGGCTTAATCATTGGACGCGCGTGAATAATATCTATGATCTCTCTGTCTATACCAAGCCAGACACTCATTCACTGACCAAATCAAAGCCTTCAAATTGTTACTGCAAATTAACTTACATTTTTTAATTTTTTATGTTGAAAGGTACTGGAAAGTGCTTTTCCATAAAGAATTTTTAATCTAGAAGCACAAGTTTTACCAAATCCAACGTCATCAGAAGTATAACTTGACCGATTATATTTACGCATTCAGTATTGTTTTGGAAAAAGCATTTGAATGTAATTCCGAAAAAATACCTACTAAAAAGCGTTTGTATAACTCGTAAACATTTTTTTTTATTTTTGCAAAACGTAGTTGGAAATGCCTTTTGTTTACTCCTTCTAAAAGTAATCTCAAACAAACTCTAACGATAGATACTTTGTTACTTTGTTCCTAAAAAATAGAAAACATGAAAAGATAGCAAAGATGACTAAAATATACCGGTACTAGTCTACGAGGCAGTTGTTGGACTTGGACTTGGAGGAGGATTCTCTATCCTCCTAATCTCTCGTACCCTTACATTCTCTCATATTTGAATGGTTATGATTAAACCATGTCAACGTCTTATATTAATTTTTTTATAGAGATAATGAGATAAAAAATTATGTATGAAAAGAAATGATAAAAGGAAATAAGAATAAGAGAGTAGAGAATCCTCTAACTTTTGTGGATGACGTTAGGCTCATAGGGTCCAATATTAAAACGTCCTTTTCACTTCGCTTCCCGCGCTCCGTTCCAACTTAATATTTCCCAAGTACAACTGGATTATTTGTACCTTCTAGCTTGTTTGCCGTTTGGCGAAAATGATCACAACACGTGTCAGATCTCAACGGTCTTGATCTAACGATATTCCTAAAGCACCGGTCTGATGTAGTTTAGTTTTTTAACCAAAACGGTCCTGATGACATAACTCCTTGTTAGAAGTGATATCTGTTCACCGTTAATCATTTTGGATATTCTGTGAAAAAATAATATTAAATAATGATCAAAATAATAAAAATACTCTCAATTTAATAAGCAATGGCAAAAATGTTTTGACAAAAATTCAGGATATTTTTGTCATTTTATTATTATTTAATGGAGATTTTCACAAAATGATTGACAGTGGACAAACTCAGGGATCACTTTTATAGAGTTCCAACTCTTAGGGACCAGAGTAAAGAGTTATGTCAATCTCAATTATCGTTTTAGCTAAAAAGTCTATCAATAATTGAGCACACTTCCACTCTTATTCCATAATTTTCATAGGGTTAGGGCAATTGACAACATTGGCCTTTAGGAAAATAATAGACTCATTTGCATAAAAGAAAACATAGGATCTCCGCGATAATCAAGCATACAATCGCCATACATTTGTGCCATCTGTTGGTATATATACATTTATTTGTCAATTGTCAAGTCTAATAGTATGAGCTTGTAACTAAACAAACTTTTAAAAATGATTGATTGTGTGAGGAGGTTGAGCTTAGCTTTAGACCAACGGGGCATCCTACTCAGCATGAATATGTAGCAAAGAAACATTTCTGAGCTGATTTACTACTAACAAGTTTTCAAGTGGCATAAACTATAAAGTATGTTGCAAGAATAGTATGACCACAAAGATACCTTCAGAGCCAGAGGATTCTCGCCGGATCCTTCAATCACATTCGTTCATCGTACATCGTGTGGTCAGAAATTATTTTAAATTTTTTTATTTAAAATTAAATATAAACGGTACCTAACAAAAACTGACCGCATAATGTACGATGAACGAATACGATTGAAAGATTCCCAAGATCCTCACAAAGAGGATCCGAGGATCCGAGGATCCTCTCTCCCTTCAGAGAACCTCTACCAAGTCAGCAAAAAATAGTCATACCACCAGGGACATCGAGGTTGACCTGATGCCCGAAGATTGCGTCAATAATCCACTACCATCCACAACCATAAACCTTTGTATCGCACTTCAGGTTGGCTCGGACCTTCCTCACCTCTTGACCACCAAACATTAATTCCTGTTTAGAGAGATCGTTAGAAGCTCATACCTCCCAAATCTCACGATTTCATATTCATATTAGATCTCATAAACACTTGTCACAATGTCATGGTGCCTCATTCAGACTGGCAATATACAACTGCGCAAGTATCCGACGATCTGCCATCTCAAACTGTATGGAGAAATTCTTTGGTGGTCCATGAAATTTGGAAATTTGCCTACTCCATCACTTCTCTATAAATAGCCAACCTCCCTTCGAAGTAGACATTTCTAAGTTTCTCCTCACTTTGCCTATACCAAAATCCTTCCACTATACTAACTTTATCATCGAAATATTCAAGTCAAATTATTGGACTCTTAATTCCAACTAACACATCTTGCAATCAATAAATTTGTTGAAACTACATGTAGGAACTTAAAATATAAGAGAATCTACAAGACTAAATGTTCGGCGAGCTGTTCAGGGTTGGATGATAAGTTTGGCGAGGCGATGTTCGGTGATGGGCATGGATTTGTGCACATCGAGATGCATTGTTCTGGCAGCGGGGTCTTGTTGGTATGTCTAGTTGGCCCTTTTTTGGCTTGTTTATGTTTCTCGTTTCTGGGTCTTTTGTTTGTAAATTTTTTTTGCGACAAATGTCGATAGCCTAGTTGTTTAAATGTAAAATATTGTAATATATTATGGAAACGTAAACGCAAGGCAAGTATGGAAGCCGAAACATGTCCAAATCTCGATTCAAACTTCAAACTTCAAAACCAACTTGTAGTCCAACATTGCAATTAGCATCTTTTAAAAAGGGTACATCTTTTCCGTCTGTCTTCATGTTTTTGGCACTTTTTATAATTAAATCCTTCTTAATCATCAAATCGTTGACAAATCAAACTTTGCCTTTAAAATAATTTAAGATGGATTGATATTTAAGTCACCATACATTTTTTATAAAGACGTCTAAAACAGTAAAAACTTCTAACGTGTGATTTTTTCCGATTCACCCTAAATATGTCACCTTGACATTTTTAATGTGTGATTTTTTAAACCATCTTGATACTCATTCAAAGTGATGCATTGCACAAGGTGACATATTTAGGGGAGGATAGTCGGTAGTGATGCCTGACTATGTTTTTTTCCCAGCGAATAAGATTGAATAGAGTCCCGTAGAACCAAAATACAGGATGTCACTGTTTTTGTAAAAAAAAATGGGACATGTTATCCACACACCTCATTTTACTTCTTACACACCCTTTGTTAATTTATGTCCGTTGATCTTCTTCAATTCATCTGATCGGACGGCAGAAAATTAAGAAGATATGTGAGAAATAAAATAAGATGCGTGGATATCACCAAAAAAAAAATGTCTTCTGGTGATGTGTTCTTCCACCTCCACAAACGTTTTATGCTTTTTCGAGTTTAATTTTCTTCGATTGTGACATGTTTACTTGACATGATTGAGGGCAGTACGGAATTAGAGAACATTTTGCATGATTCCGTCAATTCCGTCAAAATTTGTTAAAAGGTCTCCTACGTGGCTTGAGCGGAGCCCACTAAGTTGATGACATGTTGGCCACATGTGTACCCTGATGCCACCTCATCTCCCTCCCCCAAAAGAGCCCAGGCACGTTCACCGTTGCCGGCGCCGGCGACGGCGTCGATGCCTTCCTCTCCCCACGCAAGAGGCAACAAAACCCAGACGCTTGTCTCGTAAAACCTCAGTCAATTACTAAAGCCGTAAATAAACGCAGTCGCGGAGTAAAAGAGGTAAATAGAGGAAGATGGCAATGACACGTCAGCCAAGACAGAGGAAAGAGACCCGGACAGAGAAAGTAGGCGGGGACTTTGACATTTCCCTCCCCCGGGCAATCACGCATCCATTCATTCATTCCTAATATCAAATTGGGTGTTTATTTCACATTTCATATCCATCATTTTTCCATAAATTCAAATCCAATTTTCGCAATTTCATACCAGTCAATATATTCCCACTTCCCACGAGATTTCCGGTTCTTCCGAATCACGCGTATACATTCCCTTTTCTATCCTCCTCACCAACCCAAAAAAATCAATCAGTCCCGCAGAAAATTCTCGCCATTTTTTTTTTCAGTCAAACATTTTGGCTCTAGAATTTCTACTCTCTTTCCCTTTCAGCTCTCTGCATTTGTGTTCTTTAATTGATAACGTTGTTTGGTTGCTGAGAAAATTACTGGGTTCTCGAGAATCATCTCTGCAAATAGGTATGTTGGTTGGTTGGTTTATGTTTTTCTTTTTTAAATTAATATGGTGTTTGGTTGCTGAGAAAATTAAGAAGGAAAATCAGAGCTTGTGAACGAGGTTTGTTTACTTATTCAGGTGCAGTTGGAAAGCTCTTGTGGGTTTTTTGAATTGGGGCAAACGATGGGTGGGATGTGCTCGGGCGGGGTGTCTGCTAAGGAAAATCCCGATATTTACGGAGGGAAAAGTTCGGGATTTTCCGGGAAACTCCAGTCGATGAAGACCATCGGCAAGAACAAGGAGAATTCTAATTCCTCGTTTTCCGAAGGAATTGCTCCTTGGAAAACACCAAATAGGTTCGACTCCGGCGAACTGCGGTCTTCAATTTCCCGCGAATTGAAGCCCTCAACTCCCGCTAGGACTGCTACTAGCAAGGTATCGATTGCTTTAATTTTTTACTAGAATGTTTTCGGGGAATATTGATCGATGTATTTTTTGTTTGGAACTTGGAAAATGTTGGAAGTATTTTCTCAATGCTTCTCCGTGAAGCACTTATACGACCCATAGACGCTTTTTAAGTTTTTATGTCAAATGTAGTCAAAAGTGCATTTGGTGGTCAGAAAACACTTTTAGCCATCGTAGAAGCATTGTGGCATTATTGCTTTAATTTGTGTTTTCTATGGCAGGTCACCCCGAAGAACTCCTTCATAGGAAGGGCT